CAGAGGACACATGCACTTGCCAGAGACAAAGCAAGCATGAAGAAAAGTGAAAAAGCACCCCTCCACAGGGGATGGTCATGCCAAAATACCTTCTTCGCCATTTCTCTCTCCTGTTGGATTTTAGGCATTTACATACATGTACCTGGCATGTAGTTTTTAGGCATTCACATACACGTACGTGGCATGTTTTTCAGGACAGCAGGGCTAGGACTCAAACTGCAGTTGATCATGTGGGATCCAGCCCCCTTAACCACCATGCCGCAAGCTGGCCCTAGAACTCCAAATTTTTACCAGGGCTCTTGGACAGAACAAGAACAGTATTTCCCAGCCTCTCTTGCAGCTAAGTGTGGTCCCATGATTAAGTACTAGCCAATGGGGACACAAGCACAAGTGATAGGTATGACTTCTAGGAAGTTTCCTTATATTCCCTGCCTTATAAGCACCCACTGCCCTTCACTTACCCTTTCCTTCCTTACTGATGGCTGGGGTCAGAATGGCCATCCTAGACCATAAGATGACCTTGGGAAGGGAGGGCACATACATGGAACAAGACAGAAAGAGTCCATTTGCTCAGTAATCTACCTGAGGCACGTTACTTTACCTCCCTGGAACTCAGTATCTCCATCTATTAATATGAAGTATCTCTCTTGCAGAATTCTTTCAAGGACTGATTTAGATAGGGCCTGGTTCAAAGGAAGGGGTAGATTTTAGGACAGCTGGAATTTCTGTTATAGTAGATTAGTAGTCTTGCTGCATTGGAAAATGTCGGAGGTTGGGACATCTTAACACAGACCTCAGTGCCCAGGGGTGACTCAATGGTGCTCACAGGTGGAAGGCATCCTAGCTGGTCTCGTCCTGACAAAAATCCCTTCTCCAGCGCCCTTGTCAAATGGTGCCCAGGAAAGAGAAGTCCACTACCTCTGAACCGTTAGGACAGGGGTGTTTGTTCATTCATAAATCACAGCCCACATCCCCTCCCTTCAGAACGCTTCCCCTGACTGCCCAAACCACTTCTCTTCTCTCTGTTGCCTCCTTCCCTCTGCCTTTGATCACCCCACTCCTGCCTCTGAGTTCATGCCCATCAGCACATCAAAGTTTCTTTCAGTCTCTTCTGGAAGCACCCTCTGGTCTCTCCTCTAAGAAGCCTTCCCTAACTGACTGGGAAGTAAGTGATCGCTTCCTCAGTCCCCGCCCATTCAAACAAGAGGTTTCCCAAACTCCACAAATGAACTTGTCTCCCACTGGGGCAGAACATGAACGATCATTAGCTGTTGATACAGGTTCTGAGAAGATCCAGAGAGGCCCTCCTCTCCCCCACTTTTCCTTGCTAACACTTGAAAGCTGTTTCATCTTGTTTGCAACATCAGCACCGGTCTGAGAGGTATAACTCTTCATGGCTATGCAAAATCGAAATGTGCTTTAGGTGTCTAAAGCTTACATTCATCTTTCCTGATTATTCCCTTCCTGTTCTTGCAGACACAAATCCTATTCTCTCTCCCCCTCGTTACTGTCATCTTTCCATGTCACTGTCACTCACACAGGCTGCTCCCAGGCATAGGCACAGCCCCAACCACCTCTCCCTCCTCCTCAATCCCTCTTCTTCACAAGCAGGCCAAATCTGCATCAGCCTCTACTCTCACTCGCATCTTCTGCTCCTCTGGCTCCGACTATTCTCAGAGTAGAGACTTTACTATCCTCAAAGCTCAATCGGGCCCAGGTTAAGGTGGCTTTGGAATTGGAACAAGGGTAGTGGTGGCGGCCCACAGCTGCCCCAGGTTGGGTGGGGCGCACAGGGCTACAACAGAAGAAAACAAGACACGCTGCTCGAGAAGGCAAGTTCAAACCCATGCAGCTTCAAGAGGACAAGGACATGAGCAGAAATCAGTTTGCCAAGAGGGAGAAAAAGAGGAACCTGATGCGTATCCTGGACAACAAGAAAGGAAGGAAGCAGGAAAGCACAGGTCTAATGATGTCAAAGGAGCAGCAGGCTTTCAGAGATTTAGCCTGGGAGCCCCTCGCGTACCATCACAGGGTTCTCTAACTCAGTCATTTCTGGAAACTGGCCCCTGTACCAGTCTCACTTCACAGAATCCTTAGCTTAATCCAACTCTTTACAAACAACATCTTAGTCCAGGTATGTAACCCCCATGGGCTCAAAAACATGAGATTCTTTGCTGTTTAAAATGCACACAACACATGAATGCACATTACATAGCAAGAATGCTGACGCATGAATCAGACCATGCCAGATTGCAAGCAGGAAATTAGACCCCAGGACGGGTTTTGTTCCCTCCACAACACCTCCTGCCTCTCCCGGATTACAAGTTGTTAGAAGACCTCCTCTGTTGCCATGCTGACAGCTATCAGGTGCTGAGAAGGAGAGAGTTCCACCAGCGGGTTCAAAATCAAGCAGAGATGAACATGCATGTCTACAGTGCTGAATCTTCCTGCTTTTGCCCATGCCTGGCTTTCTGGCACCAGTCCCCTCTAAGGCCACCTTAATGCTCCTTTTCCTTCTCTGCACCTGTGTACATGTGAAGGTGGGGGTCGAGGAAAGATGACAGCGCCTGACCGGTGCCAGGACCTCAGCTCTACTCCACGGAGTGGCCCAGAGAGTGAACAGCAGGGATACCAGCAGGCGGCCTTCCATTTCTTGAACAGCCAGAAGAAACAAAAGGCATAAATGTCACATTCTCCTGTTTTCCCATTGGTGGTGCCTCATCCTGCCCTGGGCCCCACCCTTCCACTCAGCCCTCTCTCCCACCCGCTTGAGCCACACACCCACTCCACGCCCAAACCTCCCAGAGGGCTTTCCTTACTTGTGTCCTTTTGAATCCACATGAATCACTAATTGCTGATTTAAACCCAGACACTGGATAATGACAAATACGGCATAACAAATACCGAGTCAATATCAGGAGGCTGGCAGATGGAAACTACCTGCCTTCTCAACTGCCTGAGTAGTCAGGACAGAGACGCCGTCTCTACCCCCGCTCACAGCTGGCCAGAAGACGAACTAAACTTCCCGCTGGACCAGGGTAGCTGTGTATGCTGGGCAGTGGCAGGGCTGGTACTCACAAACTAACACTGGCCGGCTCTGAAGCAGCCTGCATGGAGTTACTTGGGAGGATTAAACAGCCCAGGCCATCCCCAGAGTCTGGTTTCATGGGTCAGGTTGTTGCCTGAACATCCATTTTTAAAAGCCGACCCCCCTAGCCTGCCCCCAGAAATCCAACATCACCCAAGTTTAAGAACCACTGATTGAACACACGTACTATGAGTTTTAACATTATCCAACACACTCAGGGCATTTAGGATACCTAGTATCCTTTCATGGTCATGCCAGTCCTTGGATGTTCTATTGAGATTCAGATGTCAATCCTGGTAAGGCTGATATGGAACTCAGGTCCTCTAATTCCAAAGTCCATTCTCTTATCACACACCCATTACCTCGTGCAAGGATGTAAACAATGCAGGAAGCAATCTCTACTGACAACAGATCATGAATAAATTCCATAAATGCCAGACACCTAGATTTGTAGATCTAAACATCACAGGCAGCAAGCGATGACCCTGAAGGCAGAGGACCAAATCATACAAAAATGGCAGGAGGGGTGCTCATGGGGCAGTTTGAGAAGATGGGGAAACAGCCTGCACCAGATCCTACATAGTGACCTTACCCTCGATGGGAGGAGGCATGTCTAAGATACCATGGTTAACACAGAGCTCAGTGTCATGGAAAGAATGGACGAGTCTCTGAAAAAAAGGGGTAAGTGGAAGCCCCTTTGCTGCGGAAGGGATTGAGAGCAGTGTCAAGAGTACACCTCTCAGGGCCACAGTTTCTTCTTCCTACTCCAAGAACGTTGTGTCCCCACATTCAGTAGAGGCACAAAAATAATCCTTACACATCCCTGACCAGGCAGCTTCAATTTCTCCAGTTTCTCTTCCTCCCAGAACTATGGCCTGAGCTTCCTTGGTCAGGGAACTTATGACTAGTACCCTCAAAAATGTTGAGCCTTGGGACCAGCAGTTAGCATAATGGCTATGTTGCTGGACTCCCATGAGGTCGACTGCAGTTCGTGTCCCAGACCCAGTGGCTTAAACTCATGCCGGGCGCGTGTGCATGTGTGCTCAAGATCTCGAGAGGAGAATGGAGGAGAAGGGATTGTGGCATTGCCATCCCCCCTGGGGGAGTGATTTCTCGCTTTCTGTCTCTCTGTCTCTCTCTGTCTGGCAAGCGCACGTGCCCTGTAGCAAAAACCTGTCCAAAAAAAAAATGTTGAGCCTTCAGGCTACTTAGGGAGGGTAAAGCATCTCTTCAAATCCTATCCCACCAACTCTCACTTCTCCCTCAGGAAAAAAAAAAAGAAAGAAAGAAAAAAAAAGAAAAGCAGGACCAGCAGATGGCATAATGGTTACATTACATATGGTTGATGGTGGTTCGAGTCCCGAACCAAGAAACTTGAAACTCATGCCGGGCGCACCTGCATACATGCCCAAAATCCTGAGAGGATAATGGAGACGAGATTATCCTCCCTGGGGAGTGATTTCTCCCTTTCTTTTTCTGTTTTTCCAGAAAGTGCATGTGCCCTATAGCAAAACTCTCTTAAAAAAAAAAAAAGGCATAACACCATCATTATCACTAAATCAACTTTCCCAACAGAGTGGGGATAATGTTACCACTTCCAATTAGAAACTAATGCAGAACAAAATGGAATTGAAGACACCAGTTTCCATAAACCATGGACGTGCACCTGGGGAGCTTCACTCCTAGGCCCAGGACACCAAATGATCCTTCCTAAATACAACAAGCAGTACCCTATTGCTCCTCCTGGGTCAGAAATGGGCCTTCCGATACCCGATTTCAACCTGTGACACACACCAACTGCCTCCTGGTGTCCCCCAAAGCCTGTGTTGATGGGAAAGAAGCACAAGGAGTTACAGGAACCAGGAGCAGGTTAAACTTTGCATCGATCGCTCTGATAAGCAGAGCCACTTACCCAGCACAGCCAGACAGCTCAGCACTGGGAAAAAGCACTTCATGTCGGCAGCGGCAGGAGACACAGCACAAGGCGCTTCCTCTTCTCCGGGCTCCTAATCTCTCATTTCTGGCAATCCACTTATAGCTCCAGAGAACAGTTTTGGAAATGGAACTTAATTCAGAAAACAAGAACAGATTAAGGAGAAGCAATTGGAGCAGGGGGCTGGGGGATGGGGCGGCAGAGAAGTGGCAGCATGTGTTAAAACCCCCCTGTGCTGAAGGAAGGGTTCCAGAACAATTCTGAAGGTGCTCTAGGCTTCGGCCACATCGTGTGCCTGGCAGGTTCCGGTGGAATTGTCGACTGTGGTGGATAAATCCTCAAGGAAAAGGGGGAAAAAAGAGTCTGAGAAAATCCTTTCATCCACTGATTATACAGCAATGTCCTTGGCTTCCCAGCGAAGGTGTCTGTGATCTCCCTCATTCGGATTCCCCGAAGGAAACGAGGCAGGTTTTATCAAAACCTTTGACAGCCACATTATCCTGGTTGGCATCGACCGTTTGGGTTTCTTCATCAAAAAGTCCGTCTCCTTCCATGGTGGTAGGTCACGGCGCTGTCACCTGCCCTAGACCTGCCCTGGACACACGAAGCAACTTGGCGGTCGGCAGTCTTGAAACCGTCCCACAATGCCACAGATTTCTAAAACAAATACAACAGAGATTTAGCAAAGGCAAACACAACCACCGCAAACCCCAGCAGGGGCTGAGCGCCGAGCTGGCCCGGCCACCGGGGTGCCGTCCCGCGCCAGGGCAGCCCACCTCCGCCTGCTAACCTTGGCCAAGCGCTGCCTTGCCCTGCGCCTCAGTTTCCCCGCCCGGGGCAGGGCGATTGTGGGAAACCCGATTGTTCCCGAAATACTTTCCCCAAACGCTCACTCCTGGGAATTCCCGTCGCCTCCCGCCGAGCCGGGCGCCCAGCGTGGCCCCACCCTCCGCCGGGCACATCGAGAAGGGGCTCCCAGGTGGGGCCGCGAGCCCTGGCTTCCACCCCGGCCCCACGCCGGCCGTGGGAGCTCTGCGCGCGCCGCGTCCCAGGTGGCCCCGCTATTGTTTTACCTTCCCAGGTGTTTATTTTTCGCTGACTGGAAAGAAAAGAGACCCGGGAAGGAGGGAGCCGGGCTCTGCTTCCCGCCGCAGGGGCGTGCTCGCC